CTCTCTCTCTCTCTCTCTCTCTCTCTCTCTCTCTCTCTCTCTCTCTCATCTAAATTATTTATGACCTTGTAGCATAACAATATTGGAAATGTCAAATGTATTTTAACTCCCACTGCACATGGCCAGGCTGAGAAATAGCAAACCCAGCAAACAGTGAAAGCAGAGAGCAGCTGAGAACCACAGGGAGGAAAGACATTTGATCAGTGAGCTCGGCTGTCTTGTGTGCAATTCTCCTCTCTAAGAGAGCAGTTTAAAGCAAGAGGGAAATCCTTTGCATGCCATGATATACGTCCGTACATTTGCCCTCACACACAAATAACACACTTAGACCACGAGTGGTTTCTTTGTGTGGCTGTCAAATATTCTCAGATTTGTTTTTACAAAAACACACTAATTAAAACCAATTAAAAAATGGTAAGAACCAATTTCTTTATTTTCACACTTTTCATTTACTGTGCCACTTAATCAAGTATGTACCTTCAAAGTACTACAATGACACTTTTGTGTGTTGTATATTTGCTGTCTTTATACACCGAGTAAGTAAAGTAATTGTAATTCATGTCAAGCACAGGGCTATGTACCTAATTATCTCTGTCATCAAATGCAGATACAACAGTTAAATATTGGTCTAGTATTTCATTTGATAAACCAAATATGGTTTCAGTCATTTTTCAAGTAAAAACCAGGTTCCAGCAATGAGAGGACTTCTGAAGAAGTCGTCTTGGCCTTCTTTACAATTTTCTTTATCATTTCATTCCCTTAACATGTGATAATGGAATGAATAATTGCCAGATTAGTCAATAATGACAATAATTGTTGCAGCGCCAACACAAAAATGTACTCTTTGAGACTAGAACCCATACAGACATTGTATGGCCATAACAATACTAGTCACACTACACAGTCAATTTTCCTAAATGCTTTGTCTTAAACCTGATCTTTTTGCTAACAAAATACATTTTTTTTCACATTTGTAATGTTATAAATATACATAAATATTCATCCCATGTTTGAAATTAAGATATTGATCATAAGTGTGGAAATGTTATTTCAAATAACTGGTCTTTATTTAGTTCATTCTAACAGTACGTGTGACTCTTGTACAAACAAAGAAGAATAAAATGCCCTCACTTTAAAAGATGTTTCTTATCTTTATCAATAAATATCCTTCAGTCCAACTACAGCAATAGAAGATCCAGCACTCTTACACACACGTGCCATGAGTCTGCTGTGTGTGTGCTCAGCTCTACGCTCCATCAGTCTTACAGCAGCCTATTGTTGTGTGTCCATCCCAGCGTCCCCTGCTTCAGAGGCAGTGGAGACTACAACAGCCCTCCATGTGTCAGCGTGTTGCGCTGGGCGCCCACCAGACATCCAGCCATTCATTATTAAACAGCGGAGTCAGAAGGAAGCAGCAGGTAACCTGTGGCTGAGTCAGGAACATTCACAGAGGCTGTCCAGGTAAGAGCCCGAGGGCAGAAAGTGAGAGAGAGGCAGTTGAGACGAGGCAAACCACCAGAGACAGAGAGCTGTGAAGAGACTGTAGTTCATCTCATTTTGAGGACCAACATTTTCTTATTTATGAATATTTCACAATTTCTAGAGACAGCTTATAAGTGAGGATGGGCATAATTTACCAGCTGCAAAAATATTCATTAAGTGGATTGTTGTTCTGCGTTAGTTGTCTTTTTATGCAGATTTCTTTTCTGAAAGCCAAAGTTTTCAAATTATTAAACTGAATTTATTAATTTAAAACAAAAAAAGAGAATAGAATTTCCCTGCAGGTTTTAACCTTTATTCAGCAACTACTGATCGGTTGTGCTATGATTTGGGAGAGTTTTTAGGGAGATATCTGCATTATTTCAAAAACATTATATCAATAAAAGTGCTTTTTTTTCCAGGCGAACCAGATTATTTTCAATTTGAGCTGTGTAATGTCTTTATTACTATATTAACCAGCAACATATACACAATATTACCCATCTGAACAATCTCACAAGTGTTGTGATCTGATTATAGCAACAAAAATTATTAAAATAGACCTTATAGTTACAGAACTATGGTCACTTTAGTATGGGTATGCTATTTTCGAGCAGAGGCCTACAAATAGGGCCCGAGCTTAAGAGGTTAATGTGTTGTGGTCAGACGATATGTAATAAATCGTCTGTAGCTAAACGCCAACACTAACCAAGTCTAGGGCAGAAATAATGGGACGGATAAGCAGGTGGTGAATGTATACGACACAGTGACAGAGAGGAATATATTTCATAAAATTATAATCCATGAGTCTACCTGTGGTGCAATAGACTGCAACCTTATGAATGGATGGACTGTATTTTGGAGCAGATAGTTCCACTTGACTAGATATTTTCAACCATCAAAGTAAAAGGAGAGAGTCAGAGAGTAAGTGTAACTTTTACTCTAGTTCTTGACAACTAGAGTTCTTGTCCCAGCACTATCTACACAATCCTATGCATACATTCACATAGGGACACACACACACACACACAGTATATTATTATCATTAAATCTTATGTGTGTACGTCCACAAAAGCCATTATTTTTAAGTCCTTCCTTCCATCTCCTACTCCCACAGTGGCTACTTATTTTTGTTCTCTTGTGCTCGATGTAAACTCCGCTGACAGATTTTATGAGGCCTTTACAACTGCATCTACACATAGCAATAACCTTAAACCAAATATGTCTACATAAGAATACTAACAAAGTTCCACAATACTTTTAAAGCAGTACTTGGCTCGTTAAAAATCTTCAAAAATCTGGAAAGTCAAACCAAGTCACAGCATCCCTTGGTTAATAACTACACCAGAGAAATGCAAACAAGCAGAAAGAAAATAGATAAAGGGACTGCCTGATGGTTTTATACCAAACTATGGAAGAACAAAGGTCTACTTATCACAAATCTGTAAAAGTAGTGTTTTTGACACCGTGGATAACTCGATCCTTCTGGATTTCCAGTGACACTGACGTAAAATGGGTTTTTATTTATAAAACAGGTCTTTCTCAGTAGCCATGGATAATGTCTACTCTTCAGTGGCCCCTCTGACCTGTGGGGTTCCCCAAGGCTCAATCCTTGGCTCATTGTCATTCTGTAGATGACAGATGACACACAAATCTATGTCCCATTAAAAAAGGCGAAGAAGGCAATTTGAATCATCTTTTATCGCTGCCCGTCAGATATAAAGTGCTGGATGTCCCAAAGCCTTCCCACCTAAATCAAAATAAATTGGAAATAATTATCTTCGGGCCCCCCAAAGTCAACCCCTATTAACAGAACAACCTTGTACTCTTCAGTCAGACACCTGGGTGTAATATTTGACCTTTCTTTTGAAAAACAAATTACAAATGCTGTTCAGTCATGTTTTTATCAACTAAGGAGCATCTCAAAGATCAGGGGTTTAATTTATAACCGTTTGTGAGTAAAGTCGTGGAAATAAATACTGCGGTGACCCTCGTGATGCGTTATGTTGCATGACAGACACTCTGGAACTCTTAGTACTGCGTTAATGGAAGAGTTAGGAGGGAACGAGTGTTCTTCCTCTTCCTTGTAGTTACCGTGATTCGCCGAAAAGAACCATCGTTCAGCAGACTCATTTCTATGCATCAGCGTTCGTAAGGTGCTTTGCATCGACCATTTATGGTTGAAAGTGGGCGTGTAGAGGGCGGGATGTGAGGCTGAACCAGCTGCGCACACTTACAGGTTTGACTTGGGATATTTAAAAAGGAAACTGCGCACTGGCAGACGTACGCAAGGATTTATAAATCTGAATATTTCACTCCTTTGAACCTTAGTGAACATTTAGTGGGGATCCTACACACTGTTTTATCAATGAGACAGGTCTTTTCCCTCCCGGCCTGATCTCGAGAAGGTGGTCCATGGTTTTATTTCTTCTTGTTTAGAATATTGTAACTCCTTCAACTAAGAGTTGAGCTACTGATCACCTTTAAAGCACTTCATGGTTCTGTTCCCCTATGAGCCGGGTCGCAGCCTCAGATCCTCAGGCAGGGCTCTGCTGGCTAGTCCCGAGTACCAGCTCAGTGACTGGGCTTTTGTGGTCAACACAACTCTGCTCTGAAACGCCCTACCTGAAGGTCTGAGACTTGCAGAATCGGTGCCCGATTTCATTTGCCTAAAGTCCTGAACTCTTAATTCAACGTCCCATGAATCGACTAGCACAAACGGAAAAACTAAAAGTATCAAAACGTTACCTGTTGTAGTTTGCCAGGTGCTTGTCCAGCTGCGTTATCCTGTTGAGTTTGTGCAGGAACCACTTGTCTATGGCTGTCAGCTGGTGGATCTGATCAACACTCATACCACTGTGAAGGGCCTTAAAGGAGGAGACATGAAACAGACTCAGCATTACATTTATCATTCATCATCTAGTTCATCATTAATGCCGTTATGGGAACATTCCGAGAGCAAAGGTTTCACAAAATTTCAACAGATTCTTTAATAAATTGCTCGTGATTAAATTTCATGTAAAATATATTGTAGGAACAATATTTTACTTTGCCAATATTAGCCTTTTATGAAAAATCTGATATAAAGCCAGTCTGTGTAAAATGAGGTTCTGCAGCATGTAAATATGTTTTATCCTTTGGACGTTAGATGGCTGACCAGAGGAATCATTCCAGGTTAGTGTGGGAGGATTTTACTCGGCAGTAAAACTTGCAGTGAAACCTACCTTGCCCTGTAAAGAAGGAGCTTCTAATCAAGTTGCAAATGATTATTACTGCAACTTTCAGGGGAGAGTTTTAGTGTCCCATGTGATTTCAGAAGAAATTCAGATGCAAACTGATATAATGTGCAAGATATTCTTTCTAAATACATAATGGAACAAATGTTAAAGAAAGATGCTAATGTTTTAATGATTTATTTTCCTCAAGTAGCTTCTACTTATGCCTGAATAACTGTTCAGGGGGGTGGGTGTGTCTTATAGACTTGTTATAGTTTCCCTACTGGTCTGGATCTTAGACATATAGGTTTGAAAATCAAACTGTTGGGCTTAGCTAAGAGTAACTGTAACTGTGCTGACCACCTTAAGGCATTACAGCCAGTGTTTGATTGCTTAGAGATAAGATGTGGATCAATGATCTATAATGATGTCACCACCTTCAATGATCTCACTCCATATCCAAAGGGGACAAATACATCTCCACCGTCAGGACACCAAGCTCACACAGTTGGAGGCTTTGACACCGAGACAACCTCATTCTGCTCTTCTTTCAGCTGGTGATAAAAGCATCTTGAAGTGCTGGACCTGTAAGTGTTTAGGACCTTGCAATAGTTCATGCAATGTCTGTGTTTGAATGACGGAACTTGACCCCGTGTCTTGATGCGCTTATGAAAGTGCTGTTTCACCTTCATCTGATTCTATTAGCAAACTGTATAAGGCAAGCACAAAACCAGTTTCAGCAAAAACATCTTTCAGATTACATCCTCCCCCACATGAAAAGCCCACGATTTTAGTTAGATAATTAAACACCATCTATACAGTGCAGTATGTGTTTTTACAGATAATATAGTTCTTGTGAAACTATTTAACTAAATAAAAAGACAATTTCCACACAATTAGGCATTCACATCTAGGCATGCAGACGGGCCATGGACAAATTTTGCTCTGCATTTCATGTTTTTTTCATGAACATTTTGAAGTCCAAAATGTGATTTTAATGAGAAAGCGGTAGTCGGTGTCATTCATTATTAACGTTGTGAAAGACTCGCGTACCTTGGCGAGGGAAAAGATGCGGGTGATGGAGGGCACAGCCAGCTCCTGTTGCAGGTCCTGGGTGTCAGACCAGGCTTTCTTGAGTGGCAGCCGGGGCACAAAGCCATCCACTGATGGATGACACATCCTCAGGGCCTTCTGCATACTCTCCTCAAAGGTTCGGCCAACTGCCATCACCTGAATCCAGAAGAGGGAAATACATCACTGAATAATGGGGGTGTGTGTGTGTGAGCATAGTGAATAAACAAGTGGATCCATGAGTGAGACAATGAGCGAATGAGTGTTTATCTGTGGATCCTCTCCCCCCCCCCCCACCTCTCCGACACTCTTCATGGCGCTGCCTATTTCATGGGACATGCCCTGAAAGCGGTCCAGGTCCCAGCGGGGGATCTTGGTGACGATGTAGTCTAGACTGGGTTCAAAGCAGGCTGTGGTCTTCTCCGATACAGCGTTCTTGATCTCCGGTAGGGGGATACCCAAAGCCAGCTTAGCTGCAACAAAAGCCAAGGGATACCTATGAGACATGGACAAAGGGACAGGGAGACCAAATCAACTAGTGTTTGAAGTTTCTACACCAAATAAGCATTATTAGCATGATCACAGAGTAATGATCTTCATCAAAACTGTGATGTTGTAATGTTAAAGAGCCAAGATATATATATATTTTGATATTGTCCGACATGTGTGTGCACCTTCTGTTTGTATGAATGTATTCTCTCACCCAGTGGCTTTGGAAGCCAGAGCGGAGCTTCTGGAGAGCCGGGCGTTAACCTCAATGATGCAGTACTCCAGGGACAGCGGGTGCAGGGCATACTGGATGTTGCATTCGCCTATAACGCCAAGGTGACGAACCACTTTGATAGCAGTCTCCCGGAGCATGTGATACTCCTCGTTGGACAATGTCTGGCTAGGTGCCACTACTATGGAGTCACCTGAGGACGATAATAAGAAGGATTTAAAGGTTTTAAACAGTATAAACTCTCAACTTGGTGTTTGATTAATGAGCTTAAACATCACATAAAACTGAAACAGCAATTATCCCATGTAAAGCATTACCCTATACAACTCCACTTTTCGCTGTAAATGTTTGTTTGTGCAGTTTCATTTTCTTGAGAACCTTTAATATACTGTATATAATTTCATTTACCATAAGATGTGTCATCTGAATTGTATGTATAGTTACTGTAAAGTTCTTGTAATTTGCAAGACATATCTGACTTACAATATAGTTGTACAACTGTCATTACAACCTGTAAAATGTATGGAAAGTTATCATCTATTGTTTTACAGGAGAAGCTCTGGGGCTAGAGATCATTGCATTTTTTGATGAAAAGCACACTTGTACGTTTATCCTTTGGAATTTGTAAAGACCACTCAAACCATCTGTAATCTTAGTTACACTTCAAGTGTCTCAGTCGGTACAAGTCCTAGGTGTTGGCTGTGAGGACTGAATTGAATCCACAGGCTTAAGTGTTCCACTCAAGTATCGACTCTCTCTACTTTTCTTGTGCTACAGAAACAAGGCAAAGAAATAACACATGGACAAAAGCTGTCTAAAACATCCATGTCATCTTGACAGGGAAACAAGTACATTTGGTGAACAAGACCAACCGACTCGCACTGAGAAGAGCACAAAGCAAACACGCTCACCCTGAAGCAGCCTCCCCAGAAAGAGGATGTATGCGTGTTTGAGAACGAGGACGATAGAATACAAAAAGCAAACAACTGAATCAAACGCAGCTGAACAAAAGTGAGAACACGATGTGGCAAATAACAACAACACCACAAAACAGCCCGAGGACAATTACATCAGCATGTAGTACTGCGTTTTTAACTTTAGTACCTGTGTGAATGCCCAGCGGGTCGAAGTTCTCCATGTTGCAGACGGTGACGCAGTTATCAGCCACGTCTCTCACCACCTCATATTCCACCTCCTTCCAGCCCCGCAAAGACTTCTCCACCAGGATCTGTCTGCTCATAGCCAGAGCCTACAGTACAATATGCACAGAATATTATTATTATCATCATTACACAGCTGTTGGACACAATCACAATCAGATCAGAAACGGTTTATTGCCAAGTATGCTACACATACAAGCTTGCCGATTGGTGCGTAACAATAAGCATACACTCTAACACACTTACAATAGTAAAAGACACAAATTAAAAATGTGAAAATTTACAATAAAAGATGATAAACAAACAAATAAAGAGTACGTTAAGACAAGTATGTTCTTAAAGAGTCATGTGTGTACTTAAATAGAGGAGTTAATTAAAGTAATTGTCCTGGGGATGTAAGTGTCTGACTCAGTGGGGGTCCCGGGCTTTGTTAATGAGCCCGACCGCAGATGGAAAGAAACTGTTTTTGTGGTGTCAGGTCCTGGTCCTGATGGACCGCAGCCTCCTGCCAGAGGAAAGGGACTCAAACAGTTTGTGTTCAGGGTGAGAGGGGTCGGCTACAATCCTTCTTGCTCGCCTCAGGATCCTGGAGGGACAGCAGATTGCAGCCAATCACCATCTCAGCAGAGCGAATAAAATCCACAATCATCTCCACTGAGAGAGCTTGTCCTGCAGCAATGATGTGTTGAAGGCAGAGCTGACGTCCACGAACAGGATCCTGGCGTAGGTTCCCGAGGAGTCCAGATGCTGGAGGATGAAGTGGAGGGCCATGTTGTCTGTGTCGTCTACAGGCCTGTTGGGGAACTGCAGGGGGTCCAGGAGTGGGTCGGTGAGGGTTTTGAGGTGGGACAGGACAAAGAGCTCAAAAGACTTCATAACCACAGAGGTCAGGGTGACAGGCCTGTAGTCATTAAGTCCTTTGATCCTTGTTTTTTTGGTAACGGGGATGATGGAGGTCTTGAAGAAGGCTAGTAGGTGGTGTGTCTCCAAGTGAGGTGTTAAAAATGTCTGTGAACACCGGAGACAGCTGATCAGCACAGTGCTTCAGGGTGGAGGGAGAGACGGAGAGTCTAGGCCGGCAGCTGCTTCGCGGGGGTGCTGACTTTTAAAACAGCCTGTTGAAGTCCATCTCCAAAATAGAGAGTTGTCATTGTGGTGTGGCATAGGAGGGGCTCTGGGGTGGATGGTTATTAGGCACGGGCCACTGCTGAGCTGGGTCCTTTACTTCCAAAGCACAGTCAACAGAAAAGCTACTTTGTAGATAAACTACAATACACGTTCTTGTGTTTGTTTTTAAGTATTCTTATGTTCAAAATGTACTTTATTGAAGCTTCCCTACGTATATTTGTACCTACAATGTAGAAAATGTTGTGCAAAAGCGCTAAAATCATATAAGTGAGTAAGAACACATTTATCTTGTTAATTTGTTGGGACTATGAATACAAACTAAATGTGGTGACCTTTTCCAAAGACGTGTACTAACGGTTTACACAAGTGCACATGCAATGGATAGAAATAAATGGAATACTATTTTTGATCATGGTGAGGACACAGGGTTAAAGGAACAAGTGTCCATCTTGGGTTTTCACTTTGTTCGTGGACCTTGTGAATTTTATATATATATATATATGCTTTTAAATGCAAGATAAGGAAAGCAGCAGGATGTACAGCATGGCCTAACAAGTAAGCATCAATCAAACAGTCTGGTACAGACGGTTCATTGTGCAGCCTGCAATCACAGATTATAATGATGATCTTTCAGACTATAGTGTATGTAATAGTGCTGGATACTGGACGAGCACAAAAGACTGTTGCCAAGCAACAGCAAACTATTCATTTCTTGGCAGAGCACCAAAGAAACATATCTAAACAATTTCAAAGCTTTCATCTTCATGCAGGTTAATGCTGTAAACATGGGTAATAATGGTATAAATCTAAAAGAAAAAATGATCAACATTCTCAGTAAACTCTTCAATTGCTGATCATGATCAATCGTGTGTAAAGAAAAGAAATAAAGAATAAGAATTAGATTTTTTGCCCAGATTCCTCCACCTTCTCTACATTAGAGCATTTATTCTGACCTGGTGGGCAGTTTCCTCCAGCTTCTCTTTGTCGGCACACAGACCAGATCCTAGTCCTCCGAGGGCGTACGCCGACCGCAACATCACCGGGTAGCCAATCTTCTCCGCCGCTTTCAAGGCATCGGATACCTGAAAGATGCACACATATATTATACTGATAATCACTTCACCCTTGTGCATCCTGACGGCCATTTTGGGCTTTTTAATATTACATTTTTTTTTATCCCGTTTGCCGTTTTGGTCATCTTTTAAAGTCTGAAGACTTTTCCGTTTGCCGCTGCCTTTTATTAAATTATTTCTTACACTGCATGGTAACTTTTATTCTTGTATTTTATATGCGTCTTATTCTATTTAGCTTGTTTTTATTTTGTAGTATCTTGGCTCTTAGATAACTGTTTTTAATTCATTTAAATGTCCACTTATAACTTGTTTCTTTTTGCGTTTTTTCTTTTGGCTTTGGATGTTTTATGCAACGCACTCTGAATTGGCTTGTTGCTGAAATGTGCTAAATGAGTAAACTTTTTCTTTTCTTTTTGAAGTTCAGCCTTAGCTTCTATTATAAGTCTAAAATAAACAGTGTAGCCAGAATACAGACACCCAGGTCCTTAAGGAGAAAAATGTCCCATTCTATGACCCATTAAAAACAGAATTGTTATCCCATGGTCATTACAGCATAACATCATGTACTATAGTAGAGGGCCATGTTGACTGCGTCGCCTACAGACCTGTTGGCTCTGTAGGCGAACTACAGGGGGTCCAGGAGGGGGGGGGGGGTCAGTGAAGGTTTTGAGGTGGACAGGACAAGGCGCTCAAAAGACTTCATAACCACAGACTTTCTGGCTTCAAGTTTACACCAGATTGAGCCATTTCATCGTGTTTGCCCTATGAGGCATATCCATGCTATATCCGGGCATTGCTGCTATATTATGAAGCACTGAAGCATTTGATGGACTGCATAAAAATCGACAATCTTGCTACTTGTTGACATATTCCAGACTGCAAATGTGATGTTTAAAATATTTAGCTCTGTGAAAGTGGAAAATAACATTAATATATAGTATTTGTATAACAGTTTTTTCGGAGGGGGACATTTCTGTCCTCCAAGGTATCAAGTGAAGTTTTATTATTATATCTGAGACTACAGAAAAAATAAAAAAAATCTATGATGTTGCCAATCATTGACATAACAGACTGTGACATAATACATCTCCATAGCATCTAGTATAGAGGAAATATTTCTGTGTTTTTCTTTACATAGCAAAAGTGGCATTATGTCAACAAACTGGAATTTAAAAGGTTAAAATTCTGAAAATGAATGAATATTGGGTAGTTATGGGTTCCAGGACTGAAGTTGGTTAAAACATTTAATGGGGAAGTCATTATTTTATGGCAGTTTTTGACACAGACCCATTTGTCCTCTAAGGACATCAGAGCTACTTTTATTTTAAAGGGATGCACAAAAGTTAAAAAAAACAGTTTAACATACAAACAAATACAGAATACATCTGCACTGTATACGTAAAATGTATACAACATCTGTCTTAGAAAATGTACTTAGTAGTTATTGGATCCTTACTGACTCCACAGCAAAACTGGGTGCAATCTTCTCATTGATCTCCATCAGTTTGTCAGAAAAAAGCTGTCGGTCCTCTGTGGCCATGATGGACTCCACTGGGGTTCCTAGGACCTTCACCCCGTACTTCTCCAGGACACCACTCTGGAACAACTCAACTCCTGAACACAGCACAAGACACCAATCCAAATATAACAAAATATAAACTCCAGAAACTCAAGTTCGTTGAAAAGTGGAAAAGTCTCACTGAACATTGCCTTTGCCATTTAGTGTATGCTTTTATCAAAGATAAGTTCTAAACAGAGTTGAACAGAAGTCCACTAGACTGCGGCAAACACGTGCGCACACACAGCTCACCGCAGTTGAGTGCAGTCTGTCCACCCATGGAGAGCAGGATGCCATCTGGACGCTCAATCTTGATGACTTCAGTTACAAATTGTGGAGTGACGGGCAAGAAGTAGACGGAGTCGGCCTGCTTGGTGCCCACTTCATTGGTCTGAACGGAGGCTATGTTTGGGTTCATGAGCACCGTCTTCAGGTTTTCTTCCTACAACATATCCACAAGGTTCATTATTATGCATTTGAAAGAAAAAATTCGGTCTACACTGTGCTTTTCCTACTGTCACATGTCAAAAGCCCTCCATGAAAATGGCCTATTAATTCCACAGGGACTAAAATGGGTACCATACAGTATGCACACTATATAAATCAAATATATTTATGTATTAAATGTCTTCTGAAGGTTTTTTTTTTAAACGGCCCATGACATCACCAAGGCTATAAAGACCGGCGCACACCTTCACCCACAGGCACACCCATACGCCGTCACACTCATTCATACACACGTGTTATGTTAAGCGCGGCCTCCATTGCGTGTCACATTCCCATTGTGAAGTCTTGCCTCCTGACACTTTACGCGAGTACGTCCGCCATCTTGCTCTCTGTGTCTTTCCGTCCTGGTTATTTTGTGCATACGTGTTGTGATGATTAACTGGTCGTTATAGTCAGTGCTCGGATTCAAACCTTCACTGCTCTCTCTAAAATGTGAATACCATTTTTGAGACTTAAGCCACAGTTTGATTATTGGTCCTTGAACCCAGGACGTCCCGTTATTATTAATCTATGTTCAAAATCATATTGATATTAATAATTGTATTTTTCAGTAATTTAATTTCTGTACTTGCTTATAACCAAACCCGCTCCTGCCAGATCACACAGCACAAAGCCTCTTTGTTTTCACATGCATACAAATTAAATTGCTTGATTTTTAAAAAAATCGGTTATTTCCTAAAACAGCTGGGTACTGTCATTTCTAAATTTACTCAAAAGAGGAGGACATAGTGCATTACTTTTTTGGAACACTTGTATTATCTTACCTTCATGGCCTTGATGGCCTGAGATCCAGAGTAGTCAAACTCTCCAGCCTGACCAATAGACAGACCACCAGAACCCAGGATGAGCACCTTTGACACCTGCAGTTACACAAATAGACGGCATTGACCCAGATGTCAATTTCATATTATTTTTCACTATAAATCATTATGGTGTGCAACTACAAATGCTCTAAAAATACTACATCCTGGTGACCTTCCTGATGAATTCTTTAATAACCTTTTACACCCACACACCTGAAAGAACGTGCTGCTCATGAAGGTAAACCTGCTGAACATGTGTGACATACTGTACCTGAGCTCTCGGAGGGATGTGTGGTGCCTTAGGCATGGCTGAAACTATATTGCCGTCTTTTCCTTTCTGGATCAGAGACATGAAGACATCAAAGAGGAACTGTAGACACAAAGAAAAATAGCAACATAAACCATCATTTGAATGGTATACTAATAGCATTAGTAGGAGCCTGGGTTTCAGGATGTGTTACCCTCACACTGGTATTGAAAACATTTTATACAGCATATATACACACAAACAATACATATATATATTTATTTATTTTTTAGTAAAAGTAAAAGAAGTGAATATTATTATGCTCTTCCCCGACAGTCAAGGGTTTACAATATTTCTCCTGGGCACAGAGCAAGATGTTTTTTGTGATTCCCCCCACCCCCAAAAGAAAAACCTAGGAGGATCGCAAGAATTCCCCAGCAGAGCTGTCAGCTGCATGTTATGGTAGAGAGGACAGGTCTTATTATTCTGCCTTAATATGACAGAGGTTACAACATACCTTGACCAGTGACTTGAACTACAGTCTGTGCCTGTCAACACTTTATTGTCGGGAAAGGGACGGGCACCTGCGGCTCTGGTGCAGTCAAACATCAAGCACCACAGATCATTACAGCTTCCATTGCAAGTGATGTCGTTACTGCTTAAATATTCTGGTATATTTTTTGAACCATTATGTCTGGTTTACATATAAGCAAATGAGGTTCACTAAGCCACCTCACTTCTGCTTTGGTCTTTTACACAAGTCCTGTTTCAATGGAAGACTTCCATGTTGACTTGACTAGCATCCTGTACAAATACCTTTACTTCATTCTAGTACAGCATTCTGGTATTTTATGCAGCACTACAAAAGCCTTTAATTACCTCTGTGTCGGTGGGACCGCCTTTAGCCTCTGGGTGGAACTGGGCCGTGAAAACAGGCTTAGTGTTGTGCATGATGCCCTGGAAAACATGCAGACTTGATATTAGAAAAATAAAATCAAGTAAACAGTTTGCATTTCAGAAACAGCCGAGTCTATTTTTGAAAGATGTTGTTATTTTGTAAACTAACGTGTGAGGACTTTGTAGTCTACCATAGGCATATCTTACTTTGCTTGACTACATTTGGTCTGTAGGAGACAAAGGTGCTTTTTTTTTTTTTAATCCCAAAACTCACAGAACACAAATATCAAAAATGCCATGTTGTCTTAGAAACAGACTCTGACACAGAGTGAAATCAACCTCATTGGTGCCATCATTGGCGTTGATGAAAAGAGGGCTCCACCCCGGGGGCAGGGACGCGCTGTCGATGCCGTAGCCGTGGTTCTGCGCCGTAATGAAGGCCTGGCCCGTCATCACATTCAGCACCGGCTGGTTCTGGCCTCTGGGGAACCGCAAACATGCAGAGAGACACAGCATTATTTATGATCAATCCTGTGCACGCACGCACGTGTGGATGCACGCAGGTGACAGGATACGCAGTCCTATGAATGGTGTCAAACTATTCCGCTGATCAACCGGTGGCGTTGACACAAAAATATGCTGCAATTCATCAACAACGGGCCGGGATGAAGACTGCAAGCTAGTAAACATGTTGTAAACAAAGCTGGATTTAGAAAAATTGAGCTTTGCAGGTGTTTTATCAGGAAGGAAATTCATTCCTACATTCGTTAGACCTCAAGGATACACACAATGTGTTTTGGTGAGCAACAATGAATCCAAACATACGTTTTTGTTTGTTTACAAGAAGAGTCCACGGGGCACATTTAAATCTTCATGAGGATTCTTTAAGGGCCTGCATATTGTGCCTTTGATTATGCTTAGCTACAAAAGAGTTCACCTGTTGCCCATAGGTAGCTTATAGGACTGAGCTCCTGCAGCCAGAGCAGTGATCTGGTTGCCCATACAGATCCCAAACACTGGCTGGGGACGATCATTCTCCAGCACCTTCACAGGACAAAACGCATACAAGTGATATCCATGAAGGTACACTGTAGATCATGATATGAATGTAATCCGTCATGAAAGAAATGCACAATCTTAAATATTTAAAACTGCATTATTTTCTACCTTGCGGACATTGTCGATGAGCGTCTTGGCCAGAGACGGATCTCCTGGTCCATTGGAGATGAATAGGCCGTCGTAGTCTAGACTCTGCAAGTCCTGATCCCACGGTACGAGGTGGACCTCCGCACCCCTCTGCACATATAGAACATGGAGAGACACTATGTAATCTTATGATATTATTTGATGGTCAGGTTAATGTGAAGTAACCTAAATATAACTTGATAGTTTTATAGAAATTAGACATCAGTTCAGAATCCATCCCTCTCGTTGTAAACATAGCTGTTACATGTGTTGTAATGAATGATACCAAATAATACCAGTGTCATGATGAATGCTCTGAAGTGACCCATGCTCGGTTTAGCTAAAACCACCATCCGTTCATTAAATATAACAAATGTTTACCAACGTCTCAAGATTCCAAAGTTCTCCCAACAATGATAATATTGGTATCTATAATTATTAAACAATTAGAGCAAGCAAACTGCCTCATTTTGTCCAACAAACTATCTTCAACCTCCACCGAAAAGCAATATTAACATAACGTATTATTATGAGAACGTCCAGCCGGCCAGACACTCATCAACAGACTCATAAAAAGGCAAATAAGGGAAGGATTTTTAATAATACAAACAGACAAAACAGAATACTGCAGTAGAAGTCTGCAGGCTGCTTCTCCCGACTTAATATTTCAAGCAATTACAAGCTAATATCAACACCATAAATAACAAACCATTAAATGGAGCATACAAATTAAGAGAAGCCCATTGTTTCTTACAGCAAGATGACACAAACAAATACTGAAAGATGTTTCTTAGACCTTCCATTACCGTCACATATTTTCTAGGTCTGGTTGCAGACAACATGTCAACAAGTGTTCTATAATTGGGCAGATGTCATTTTAGGCTCCATCATTAAATCACCATTTCTATGTGTGTAAACTAATGTAATGTAACTATTTTTTTCTCACCTTAACCAGCAGGCGAATAATGTTATGTTTAATACCGCAATCAACAGCCACCACTTTTATTGGGTTTCCTTTTCCAAAGACTTTGATTTCCTAGGGAATCAGAGTGACACAGAAAAGAGGGGTTAGCACTTATCAACACCATTTGGGAAGAACAGCTGTTTTGTGATGTTAAATATAGTAGTTATCAGCTGTTACCTTGGTTGAGACCTCTTCCATGAGGTTTTTCTGGTTGGGGTCAAAGATCTCAACAGGTTGGCCATCAAACTCAATCTTCCCCAAAGCTGTGCCCTGAGGAGTAATCACAAGCAAAGTGACACTGGGTGACCAACCGATCCATTTGTGAAAGTTTGGTGCAGTTCACACCTTTGTTGTTTACATTACCTTATCTCGGATTATCTTGGTCAGCATTCTGGTGTCTATTCCAAACAGCGCAGGAACCTTTACAAAGAAAAAGCACATTTTGTAAATCAGCAGCAGAGTCCTACTCTCCTCTCTGAGATTACAACAGATAATTGGTCATTTCAATCCAAACCTTCTCTTCTTGTAGCCATTGTCCCAAAGACTTGACGGAGTTCCAGTGGCTGTACTCGTGACTGTAGTCTTGAACAAGAAGACCAGAAATCTAGAAACACCAAAGCACAACACCAACCTTAATGTGTAAGCAAGCTACTGTAACATTTTCTAATTAACACAAAAAAATCCTCATTTTTTGGGGTGCTATTCTCGCTAAGATTGGCGTTATGATGGTTGGTTGTTTAGCGGTCACTGTCCTGTTTGGTTGTTGTATCATTCCATGTGTTAAAGTGACATTTCTGTGTAATACTTAAATTCATTATCACAGCTCGCTATCTGAGAAATCTGATCTCACAAAACAGCAAATGCGTCCTTATTTTCACTTGATGAAGGAATCAATTAAAGCATTGAGCGTTGATTCTGGAAGTTTGTGATGATAATGTCAATACTTGGATGGTTGAATTTCTTTCAAATTGTTTAAGTTGTTTGATTATTGCTCGTTACAAAACTCACCGACATGTTGTCTCCTGATACAGTTCAACAGAGTCTGTGTTCCACCTCATCTCAGGAGATTGTTGTGGCAATGTATCATGTTGTTGCTTTTAGATGCAACTTGTATCGCTTGTAAGCGTCTGTTCAATAAAATACTTAAAGACATTTGAGAGCTTTCTCATCGTGTATATTTCACCACAGCAGCTAGGTATTGTTTACCAATGGTTTTACTAAACCAAAGTATTAGACAAACAACAATGTTGACTTAATGATGGCGATACTGTAGATAAGAGAGGAGGCACCAAAGTGGTTATAATTCATCCTCAGGGGATCATGATTGTTTGTAAAAATGTCATGGCAATTCATCCAAATTAACATATATTTCAGTCTGGACAAAGGTGACGCACTGACCAACAGACAGACAGGATCAAAGCGGGAATTTGAAAAAGATTGCAGCACCGAGGCCTCCACAAAGCCCGAAACCCAAAAACTACCGCCGATTTTCTTACCTGGATGCGCTCCGACTCCAGATGATTTCTCAGGCCCAGCTCGTCCAGCTCCTCGCTGTTGGGTACCCCATAATTTCCCACAATAGGGTAGGTGAGGGTCAGGATCTGACCTCTGTAGCTGGGGTCAGTCAGGGTCTCAGGATACCTAAATCACGGAAACAGCAGGATATTGTGACGCAGTGATGACGAAGCACACGGCTATGTCATCGACTTCATGGCCGAGAGTAACTTTGTCTTGTGAAAAACTTTATGAAAACATTTGAAACTAAACGAGTACACTTTTCAAACTAAAAGCGAGGTTGATATTTTAGTATCCGACTTCTCGTCTTACATCTAATGTAGTTTGACTTATAAGTACGTCTCCCTCTTACCCCACCAGGCCAGTATTGAAGACGAGTTCCCCGGCTACAGAGGCATCATGCCCAAAGGAAAACCCTTTCATCCTGGTGCCATCCTCCAAGACCAGGTGGGCCGTCTGGGCCTGGGAGTTAAAAGAGATCAGGCAGATAACAAGATACATTTCCCCTCAAGAACTACTCATTCCCTTTGTATGAAGCAAGTTTGGACAGACCAAAGGCAAAAGTTTGAAAATGAATGTGAGATAGAGGTAGGCTTAAGAGTTTAAGAGTGACCAGTGAGAGTCTAGGATTTCATGCTGAGACTGCAGGACAATGTGAATTGTGTCATAAATGCTGAGACTCTCTCTCTCAGTGTGACGTCACAAGAGCCATGAAAAATTGGTAAAGACTCTTAACCTCAAATACAACCCGGATGTATAACATGCCTAAATATGAATAAGTACAGTTACATGTTGTGTTGGAAGTTGGGTGTAGAGAGTCAGATGTTGCGCATGGCGCATATTAAACATGATGCAATTTTCCATGAAATTACCACACAATGCACAGAATTCTATTAGCTGCACGCCTCTCTGAGACAGTCTAGAAATACCATAACCTAACATTGCAGAACTCTCTTCTTTACTTTACTTGTTTTGTGAGTTAATACGGACGTTTCACTTGTCTGTCACCGAATCAAAGTTGCATTCAAAAGTAGGCAATTTACTGCGTTCTTTCTTTATGACGCAGGCTTACAATCTTGACAAATAACTTACTATGTTTTATTCAATCGCATGTAGCCCTCGTCAATTCGGCGCAATGACAGCACCACCAAACATCACCTTTTCCCTACTTGTTTTACCTGCTTTGCGCTGCTGTCTGCAGGTAACCACGCTGTCTCTAATGCAGGAGCGTTAACCGGTCAACTTTAGCACAAGTTTGAATTATGTTGCGGTGAGAACTTTTTGTTGTTCTGGGTCTATGCCGAATTCGGAATTCGGAAGTAGCCCTTGCTGTTCTTGAAAAAAAGGCTGCAACAACTTTCACATATTTGTACATTCGTGTAGAAGCAACGCATCGCAGACTTTTATTATTTTTCTGAGGAGTTCGGCTTGGAGTCCAGAGACATAGCGTGATGTGGCGTTAAGCGCTCAACACTTCTACGACGTTTTTATTTGCGTTTACAACCGACAGCTGCAGTTTTCACCCACGCGTCGTTTGCTTACCTTCACACTAAAAAGTCTAGAAGTTTGCAGTCTCAGCCACGCAGACGTGTCTCCTACTCTTCTGCCAACCACACATCCTTGCCTCAGAGATTTAACAACGCTGTACGCCAACAGGATTTTTGTCATGTTAGACCTAAAATGACTCTTTTGGGTAAAGTTGCACAGGCGTGAATGAGAAGTTTCCGGATATAAAAATGAGTAAGTAGTTACACTGTCTTGGGAACAGTTCAACGAGGCTACGTGTTCATTTAGGAGACAGTTGAACAAGTTTTTTGGGCTGCCCCTCGTGTTGTTACAGGTAGTTCAACTGAGCGTTTCACAAATGGGTCGGCATTGGCCGTCGGTCGTAGTTTTTCTCAACGCATGAAGCGCACGGCGTTCTGATTGGTGTCCGGGAAAAAAACGCCTACTCCGTGAAACAAGGGATGAACGGGATTCACATCTGTTTAAAATTGTAAAACAAAGGAGGTGAGAGGTGAGAACAATGAAGTGTTCTTCAGGCCAAATCAGTTTAACTCTTTTTTAGTGTACCAAAGTGTTGAATTTATATAGGCTGGCCATAGTCATTGTACTTGTTAGTTCACCATAGATTTTGTTTAGTTTTTGTATTTAGTTTGAGGCCAAAAAAATGTTTACACTGTTGTCTTTCATTCCGCCTCCACAGTGATACTTCAGAAAAAAGGTGCTACAGTAAATAGTGTTTACAACCAACATTTTAGGACACTGAAAATAAAAGGAAGTGCATGCCGAATGAGAATGAATGCGCCTGCTTGTAGTAAACTTGTGTGTAGTGCTTTCAGTGCAGCAAACTCTCTACAGGTTTTTTTTTTTCTTTGAGGCCAGTTGCCTGCAAAAGAAAAGGCAAACTGACCGTGGACAGGCTGCCTGGTGGTGGGATTAGAGTTGTGTGTGTATTTGCTGATCACTGCAAGATTGGTCCTCTGTGGAGAAGGCTGCCTGACTGCCACTATGCTGGGTTCAGCAGTCTGAACAAAGTGGGTGTGAGTAATAGGACTTGTGTGGATCAGGAAATACCTCCACACTCCTGAAATTGGACTTGAAAAAAAAATGGACTGTAGGCCTACAGTGTGTCACCAAATTCACTTATTAATGATAATGATCTACTTATATACTTCATTTCACATTTTGGTATACTTCAGTTTTGTGTAGGTCCTCTGCACTGTTCTAAACCCCTTTGTTAACTTCAGATCACGTTCCCCATGTCTAAATTCAGTCTGCACTCCAGTTCAGAAGATCTGTGGAGCACTGGTGACATCCAGTGGTAAGGCATGCTAACAGGGTAGTGGCATGCTTGATGTAGGTGACAGTGCAGCTCGACATATATGAGTTACAGTAAGAACTGAGGGGCGTCTAATTTCATTTAGCTGCCAACATGTTAAGCTTTATAGTTGACATACATTCAAAACCACATGTGTATATTTATGTCACATCGGAAGTGCTGCATTAAAGGAAATAATAAATAACATTACTCTGGTCCACAGCATCCAACAGACTACAACATTCGTAGCAGTAGGCTATTTTTGGTTGAACAAAAATACTGAACAGAAGGTTATTAGGTTAAGTGAAACAGATGGTTATGGTAAACCAGTCAAGCAAGCTTAATGAATTGAAAATAATCATCATTTGTCTATAGATGCTCATTATTGACATTTGTCCATAAAATGGGATACGATGAAGTCCATGCTGTCCAGACTGATCAAGGTGATTATGACTTATGTAAAGGCAATGTCACTTTTTATTAGATTTAGAGTACTGCCCTTGACATGTATTTTTGGACTTTTTTTGGATCCTCTGTGACCACATACGCTAGATAATATCTAACATTTGAGCCCACTTCATAGGTTTACATGAAAACAAAAAAATAGGAACAAATACATTAGTTTGCCAATAATCTCCACTCTTAGAAAAAAAAATGGTATTGTTGACCTACAAGAGTTGAGTGAAGGGGGGGGATATGTAACATTAGCAAATGCATCTAACAATAGTAAGATGCAGTAGTTACTGCAGCTGAAAAAAGTAAAGATAAAACAATTGTCCTCACTAACTGTCTCCATTGCCTCACAATCCCATACACAAGTCAAACACCTGACATCTTTCCTTTTTGCAAAAGATGCCAGAACACCAGGGACTGTAATGAGCAGTAAACACACACATACTTCAACTTACTGCCATGCCTGCAAAATAGAGTTTATCTCCACACAGACCAAGATTGTACTCTATCTCACACAAAATTGTCTCAAATGTCATTATTATTATCCATTTTCATTTCAAAACTATCTTTTTCTATTTTCAAAAAATGATGCCCTAAACAAGCAGCACTTGCTACTTACTTACTGTCAACAATGAATCACATACGGTGTAAAAAATTGCTCGGCAAGGATTGGGAGAACCCGAGAAGCCTGTGCAATGTATGGCCCTTTATTACGGGGAGGGCCGTGATTAGCTGCCCTCCAAATTGTTTGCCCTGATTGGTCGCGGTGTGGACTAATGAGCTCCAGTGTCTGTCCTCGGCGGAGAGACCTCACATTGTCTGCGGTTTGAAGAGTGAGTTTCAGACGGTGACCAAGCTTAAGAGAGGACGTGAATAGACAGGCAGGCTCCCCCGCCTTTCTCTGAGCCAGGTTTCCAAGCTCAGTCTCGGCCTTGTGATGACAGAAATAATGGATGGTTGTTTCAAGTGTCTATGATGGCGTTTGTTCAGCATAAGATTAGACTGACATATCAGTTTGAAGATATTGGCACTTTGTAGTATATCTTTCCAACCCAAATTTAGTTGTGCATCATCTTTAGACATCAAGGTAATTCAAAGGGCTTTACATCAGACATAAACTGATTAAACAGGAGGATACAATGCACAGTGCAGTACAAAATGTGAATACATCAAAAGGCTCTGGAAAACAGAGAAGCTATTCAGCCCCGATTCAAAAGACTCGGAGAAGACTTCAAGTTCCCAACACTGCTTCTTCATGCTTTTGACTCAGTGGTTCATAACGTAGCAGCAGATGAGAAATGCGCTTTGGCCCTTAAACATTTGGTGCTTGATATATGTAAATAGTTTTTTAGAATCAATTTTTCATCACACAGGAAGTCAGTGCAAAGCATTTGATAGTTGGAGTGATGTGCTCCACCTTTATAGTTGTTTGAACCTGATTTTGTTCTGTAATAGCACACTTAAGCTCTATTTTACATGATAGTGAGCAGTACTAGTTGGTAGTAGTAGTATCATCAGAGTACAAAATGATATAGCCATTTTCCTGGACCAGAAGTAAGTCCAGTTCTAGCTGGCGAACAACCTAATCGATTTTTAAATACATATGTAAAATTATTCTCAAATACCTTTAAATGTAACATTTTCTTATTCCATTCAATTAACCTTTGCATTAATCAAACTGACCATCAAAAGGGTCTATAGTGGTTCACTCATGCCCTCATAACTGTAACGGGGTTAACATGTATACTATTAGCACTATCTTTATAATTGTACTTTCTTCCCATCCTGTCAATTACAGTGTGTGCCGCCAAGTTAGAAGAAGACCCCACGTATCATCACCATTCTTGTTTTGGGTGATGGCAGCTTTAGCCTCCAGAGTTGTAAGAGGAAGATCAGGTCATCAGCTGGAGAGAAAAGGAGGAGACTTTCTCTTTAGGCCGCTATCGGATTCCTTTCCTCTGTAGTGAGGTAGTGTCCCCAGTAAGAAGGGCAGCAGTATAGCTTTGTTTAGCCTTGCCCCATCTAATTCCTGTGTGTCCAGTGGAGGGCTTATGAGAGAGAGAGAGGGGGAAAGAGAGCATGCATCAGCCCCCTTAAGGAGGCAAGGCCCTCGCTCTTAGGAATCCCAAGAAACTTCACACCTCTCTGTAGTGACTATAAATAGGCTCCATCTGTGCCCCCGGGCTCAGTTACAGCCTCATTCCTTTTGGTATGGTTGGAGGGCAGGGAAGGAAGCACTTTGAAAGGTTTGAAAAGGGGAGAAGGGGACAGAACCAGAGTCCAAAGCCGACTCTCTAATCATCACACACGGCTGACCTCTGCTGCATTTCTTGTGGCAAAGGAAGTCAATCGGTGCTCCTTGCCATTTCCTTCTCTACAACAATCTTCCCGACACCCCAACTCCGGCAAAATGCCAGTGAACTGGGAGCACGCGGCATCTTTGGAATCTTACGCCACACTGCACTCGTCGCGTGATAGTTTCTCTTCACATTTCATTAATCATGCTGAACATAGGGAGGTCTCCAACGTTAAGACAGGCACTGTGTCTTATTAAAATCAGTGCCTCTGTCGTTTCTCTTTCGCAGAACTTAACTGTAGAGCTCACAGTCTCATGGTTGATGTTTTAGTCCTGGTACCGGTAACATAAATTACATTTATTTCTGACAATTCTGTGAACTGAGAGTGAATTTGATAGATCACTATGCATGCATTGCATAAACAAGTGGGCATACGTGCTTCAGATCACACCGTCATTCCTGAGAGGAGACGGTTATAGTGCCTGTCCTGAAGCAACCCCCCCCAGGATGAAGCTGGGGGGAGGAGGTGTCATAGAAAAGATAGATCCAAGCATACTAGTTTGCAAAGAAACAGCCCCAAAAGCCCTTCCTCTCACATCTATCTATTCTTCAATCGAAACTGACACAATCCAAAAATTTAAGAATTTGTTGTCTCTAGTTTACCTCATTGTCTGCTTTATTTGATGAACATATTTTTCATCCCAGCGTGTGAGATTATAGCCTGCAGCATCCCTTTCTTATAGCTGCAATATCTCTCCAGAATGCTCATGCAAATAAGGCGGAATTATTTAAATAAAAAGGAAGTAGCTGGCTAATAATCGTTTTTTCTTTAAATGCACCCCATTTGTTCTGCTCCATGCTGTACTCTACTTTGTTTGTTTCTTCCCTTTACTGTTTGCTGACGCTTTAACATCCCAATTTCCCCATAGTGATCACTGATGTTTCATCTGATCTAATTCCCATCAGGCTCAAAATAATATGCATGATAATGTTTGAAACACAGTCATGGAGGGAGCTAAAAGCTGACTAACTATAACCCTTTGTGTATGGAAGGCAGTTTGGGTGCCATTACTTAGCGAGTGCAGAACAAATTATTTCAATTTAATATCATAAACGTTTAACAGGCAGTGTGGGTGGACTTGTAGCACAGACACTTCTGGCTCAGCTCTAAATGTAAAAATATCTGCTGTAAAAATAAGCTCTGACAGCTTTCATGGTCTTGGCCCTAACTAAGATCAGAATTGCTTGAGTTTGGAAGATGACAGATATTTGCATAACTTGCATTGTACTCAGTGATTAGTAAATAAACAAATTCATAAAAACACAAGCTTAATTCTCTCTTTATACTTATTTTGCACTTTTTATAACCAAGCATGAGGTTCACATTTCTGGTTTTCAGTGAAAAGTGGAAGTTACTATTACTAACTAGTGAACTGATTGACTTTTTTCTTTTTTTTTTAAATGAAAGCAACATGAAATTTGACCAGATTCCTGCAAAATGAATGACACTCTCATCAGACTCATCTGTACTTTTGCCAATAAGAAAATGTTTGCATGACATAAACTAATGAGATTTACATTGCAAACCTTATAGACCACCAACTAAACATCAGACATCTCTTTCCTTAACTCATGATTGTATTGCACATACTGTAGGTGCCATTCATTCAACTTCAATTGCACATGCAATGAGAGTAGTCAAATCTGGAGCTTGTGTTGCTGTATTCCAACAAACATGTAGACAGACCGCTGCATGGTGAAAAACAGCTTTGAAATGCTGCTAGGGTTTGTCACACAACCAAAACAAATGAGGCGTTGTTACCCATGCCTCTGTCTTGGTTGTTTTGGCCAGAGCTGTAGGATTTGATATAATGCCACCAACTGTGTTGAAGTGGCTTCACACTGATCTTCACACTGATCTGCGCAAAGCATTGAGCAAACATCCATTTTCATAATAATATCTCCTCTGAGAAGTGTCTGCATGAATACAACTCTCATTAAAGTATAAAAAGTGTCTCTTTGAGGAAGGCCTTTCTGACAAGAACTTTAGCAATGCTGATTTGCACATTTTCGACTGTGCAGATGTTGCACATAATGTCGTTTTCCTGACTAGCATAAAGGCAAAGGCTTTACCAAATGTAAACAAAAGGCAGGAAACACAGCTTCTGACCAGTAGACCGTTAAATTGAATTTCCTCATTCTGCCATCATGGATGGCAGTGGTGGTCACAAAAGGTGGGTGTGGAAAGTGATCTTGACATGGCGTGTGGCTCTGTTGTGGCCTTAATTGTGCAGTTGAAGCCCCTTCCGCCTTTTAAAAGACCTGACCTCACGTCTCCAGCATGGCTTTCCCAAAGGAGATGATGAATGAATAAATGGTTACATGTCTATTCAGAAAGAGAAGATTGTTCATCTTTGCTAATGTGATACTTAGAATGACAGGGTAACAGTACACTTAAGCATAATTAGAAACCCATTCGTTCAGGTTGCAGGAGCAAACTCTATTAAGTGGAGTTTATAATTATTTAAGTCTATAGTGGAGCTCAGATTGGACTGCAGCACAGGTGCAAGGACTGGGGCAGAGTTTCTATAGGGGGAGGGGGTGATGGGAAGTCAGACTTCTGAGAAGGTGCAGTGGGGTGCCTCGGGTGAGCCCTGATGACAGCTGAGGGACCGAGGCTTTCTCTGGCTTGCCCTCGTGGAGATGGGGTCAGTGAAAGCAGGGGGGCTGATAGGGGGTCGCCGTAGGGTGGAGGTATTAATGCAGTTCCTGCGTCACCAGGCCCTGTCATAGTGGTGGGGGCAGGGCTGCACCGCTGGCACTGGGAGACAGATATAGACAAGAATTAAGGAGACAGAATTTGCACTCTTAGCCTTGTCTGGGTTACTGATATCAGCAGCTGAAAGCTCCACTACATCTCCATCGTCCGGTGCTTTTACGTCACATCCGTCTTGGGAGTGGTGGCCGCTCACCCTATACCAACGAAGCATCAAATTGAACACAGGTGCTGTTCCACCCAACTCACATTGTCAGGGACAGAAATAAACAATGGCTTAATATTAGATTTCACAGACACCTCTTCCATCACCTGTCCACCTAAAGCCTGGTCCTTTGACAGTTTCTCAAATACAAATTGAACTAGTTTGATCAGCTGCTTCTTCACAGTTTTTCTCTCCACAAACTTCCACTTGCATTTATTTCTTCTTACGTTTTCCACACTGTGTGGCATCAATACTTGAGTATCTAAATGTGTTTGTTTCATCACATCACTGAAGCCAGATATAAGATGTACTCATACCAAGTAAAATATTCAAACACATATGTCATGTTATGTATGGCTACACCATTACATCAAATGCAGATATGTTGAGCATCATTGTAGACGCATTTCATTCAAATTGACCCCCAATTCAACCTGATGTCGGCTAATATATATCATAATTTTGGAAACCCTGGGATCTATGCTATATTTCAGATAAAGTGCAGTGCAATGCTTGGCTACACAAGCACAAGTTGGTAAAGATGGAGCCAATGATGAGTCCAGCAGAGTTACAGTCAGATATGAGTTATACGCTCACATCAATAATATTATGGTGAGTAAAAAAATAGGCTAATCACCATGAGGCAAAAATCATATATTGGCACTTTGACGTTTTGAAGCTGCTTAAGCTGTCAGAGTGAGACATGATGCCTGCAGATCTGGCTTAAAGAGTAAAGGTGGGTAAAATCATCAAATTAGGTGAGTGAACAGAATTTAGGGGAAGTTACCCTAAACTACAATACACACCAGGTCTACATTGATAAGCTCAAGGCATAATTATGACCAGGAACTCTTTTCTCTTTTTTTTTGGAAACCCTCTTCACCTTATTGCCAGTATCTTAGTCCTGACCATTCATTGAAACATACATTTGTAGATGACAGGGACTGCTGTTCACCGGAATGAGTAAGATGTACAACTCCTCATTTGATCTGGTCTTCACTTTATAGTGAAAGCTCTCTCCCTCTTCAGTGCTCAATTTAGGCTTTAATGATTCGTTTACTTTGAGGGGCTATTACAGATTAGTGTTATTAATCACATGAGATTATAGAGGTTGTATTGAAATGGGCCCAACTTTATTCCTCTTTTTACGTCGTAAAAGTGGAACTGTTGACTTGTTGACACAGAAAATCGCACGTCCTCAGTAAACCTTTCACACCCTCCTCAGTTTTTTCGTTTTTGATTATAGATACATGGCGTAAATAAATTTTCTGAGCCGCAGCCCTATATTCCATGTTTAGAGAGGACACACACCCCTTCCACCCGCCGTCCAATCCTTACACCGGGACGGTGTTGGCGGGGGTCAAGAGGAAAAATAGCCTCATATATATACGCCCCAGAGGTGAGGTCCTGCTCCGAGTCCCCTCTACTCTGAGCTCCACTCCTTGTGTTGTCGTCCGAACTCGGAATTGTCTGTGATTCAGGAAACGAAGTTCTCCGACTATCAGCTGAAATGGCACCCAAGAAGGACCCTAAGGCGGCGGCTCCCGCCAAGAAGGCCGAACCTGCACCCGCACCTGCACCGGCGCCAGCCCCTGCTCCCGCAAAGGCTCCCGCAAAGGCTCCCGCAAAGGCTCCCGCTATCGACCTGTCCGCCGTCAAGGTACAATGACCGTGAAAGCATGTAGCCTGCCGCAATACGGAGATAGGATGATGGCTGCTCGGGAAGAGCAGGGATTTGACTTTTCCAAGAGTTGCATGACAAAAGTAGACCGACTTCAGTGGTTCCCAGAAGGGTTCTTGAAGGGAGGAGGGGGCCCAGACAAACCAAGATTTATATTTCACACATTTGAAGGAGGGACATGACAGATGTGTACTTTGGTCATAGGCGTTAATGTATTTACACTGTAAATGCAGCCTAATTGTATATTATATCCTCATAATTGGTGGTTGTGGTGAAAATTAAACTGGGGTGTTTGGTTTAATGCATTATCACCTTGACAAGGCCAGCTACAACAAAATCGCAACCTGAGTGAACCCATTTATATATCTATGAGAAGATGCACAGCTAAGAGTGAGTAAGTGAGAGTAACAGCCGGTAGGACAACACTAGACTGAGGCGAATGACTGGAACCTTGGACAGCTCACTATGGTTTAGACCACGCCCCCCCCCCGGCTCTTTGGATTGGTCTATGAGAATGGTGACGAAAGTGTGACGGCAATGCGGGGTAACACCAAATGTGGACATGTTAATGTAGCTAAAGATGGACCTCCACAGATCGGATGCCACCATGTGAAGTTAATTTAGGCAAAGAGACAAGTTTAATCCCCCTGTAGACCTGGTTAATTAGTCTACATTAAGTGTAAATTCCTGTGGTAGTGTTGCTGATTAGATGGCATGTCAAAACTCTTGCATTTGTAGGATGTGTTGTACTAATATTGCTGCTTTGTATTGGCTTCTAGATCGAATTCAGTGCAGACCAGATTGATGGTAAGTACACTTCATTTCGCCCCGGCTACCATGTGACGCAACATACAGGACATAAAACTCAATACTTCCTTTTATACATCTCCTGGCCAGCTCTCTGGACAATTAGATGAGCCATAATACATCCATTTACATTTGAGAGTAAAACAATGTAGATGATGAAGATGATGGTCATTTTTCGTGTTTTGACATTCGTGACATTTCTCGGTTGAAACAGATTAAAAACTCAAACGATACATCACAAAGAAAGCATCCCCGACATGATGGTCCTAACAAAATCATAGTTTCTTGGCTGAATGCTTAAAACAAAGCGCAAATCAAGTGATTGTCAGCTGTTGCATTCAAACAAACACAAGCTGATTGTGCTTATTGTCACCGTCAAAACAGGATAGAACAAATACAGTAAATTAGCTGGTTTCAAGTTTTAAAAAAACATTCAGACTTCACATATTAACCACAGCTGGACACCACGGATGTAGAGTGTTTCATTTAATGTTTGTTTAAAATAAAAAAACCTATGATCCCATCCGACCCTGGACAGGACACCACCTGACCAGACCTGTCGTCTGACGGGCTGCTTGTTACACCGCAGTCAGCATTCCCTACTTTTACTCAGCTCACCCACAGGGGGCCTTGCCTTTAAAAGGAGGGGGCTCATATTCTCAGCTAAGTTTATCAATTCCAAGGTGGTCTTTTAAAAGGGCCTGCAGCACTGCTGAGAGAGAGAGAGAGAGAGAGAGAGAGAGAGAGAGAGAGAGAGAGAG